AGCTCTTCCAACCCCCCCCTCAAAAATGAAACATGCTTCAAATCGCTTTAAACTATTGTCATTTTTTTGATTTAAAGCCTTCGTGACTGTAGGGTTTCATATTCTTGGTTCTTTCGGTAAAGTCACGTAGAAGGGAAACAATAAATAATCAAAACATAAAACAATAAATTTCTCACGACGTTTTGAAAAAAGTAGCTACTTTTTTCAAATTTTCTAGCTGAGGTTTTCACACCTGATGATGATTGTTTGTGTTGCAATCGAAACGTCGTGAGAATTTTGTTGTTTTAAATTTTTATTATTTTATTGTTTCCCTTCTACGTGACTTTACCGAAAGAACCAAGAATATATTGTCATTGTAGTGCGTATTTAATGTGGCGCTGCACTCTGATGTTGTAGGAGAAAACATTCATTTAAAAATCTATTTAATTAAGTAGAACGTGTTGTTTATACTTATTTAAAGTTGCGCATTTTGATGTGACGTCACATTTCTCACCCCCCCCCTCGTCACACAACGTCACAAATGTCTGACCCCCCCCTCCCACCCCGAGGTGCGTGACGTCATTTATAGAAATGGGAATGTTTTTAAAATCGTGATTGTGTTAACAAAGAAAAACACGCGACAATGATTTAAATTTCCACACGTCGCGACTGGAGGTCAGGAGGAGCTTCTGCTGCACAGACACCTCGTGCTTGTAGATATCAGTCGACACTGTCCGGCGTGGTGAAGTCTGGTAAACGCACTCCCACAACCGACACGGCGTGGGAAGGGAGATTTTCACCCGGTTGTGGGTTGCCAGAGGCAAGGGATACACAATGTATGTGCTCCCCTAGCGAATGCAGAAGCGTCCACGCGTTAGCCTTGCGCTTTTGAGAATGGCGCGAGTGCCAAATGTCCCAAATCTCCCCGTGGGAGTGAATAAAAGCGCACGCCTCGAACTGCGTAGAACACCCGTGGCTCCTTTGCTGGATCACGATGAAGTAGCGGCGATCAACCGAGAGTGTTTTACCCAGAACACATGACGAGAAACACACAGATCTGATGAGCAACACACAAATCTGATGAGAAAACACACACATCTGATGAGAAAACACACAAATCTGATGAGAAAACACACAAATCTGATGAGAAAACACACAAAACTCCTCGTCTATCCGAGTGTTGGTCGCACTTGACCTGAGCCTGAGTGGGTTTCAGTGGCGTTGTGGTGTCGGGATGGAGGATACCACCGCATCACGTTCAGGCCCCTTCACACCGTGACCTCAAAATGCTGCGTAGTCATTGGCTTTATTGTACAGGACGGGACACACTACATCGATAAAAACAAACGAAAGCGAGCGGAATAACAGGTTTTACACACGCAGTAAAGCACAGGAACAATTAAACATTATATTTTGAACAAACCCCGTCGCTGATTGTGTCTAGATTATTTTTTTTTTATGTACAGATATATTTACTTAAAAATCTGGAAAAAAACAACACTTGCAGTCACAATATTTTAAAATAGGTTCGTAAAAAAAACGACACTTGTGGAAAACAAAAGCGCCCGCTATGAAAACAACCGCCTTCGTTTATTTGAATTGGTTTTGACCGCACGTCCAATTTCAGCACACGACCGTTCTTCGGTGCTTTACCATTCCTGGAATATTCAATATCTTGATACTGGCATAAGGGTTCCAAAGACATGACGGCGTAACGCGAACTATGAATGCTTTGGCATTCGCATTGTCTTTGGACTGTTTTCCTCTTTTGGCAGCCTTTGGTCTATAGCGCTGGTAAAACAAGGCCATAAAACAGGCTGTTCTGTGAGGCAAGCCAATACGTTTCAAGGGCAATGCGTACGTTACCAAAGCGTTGTGCGGTTACGCAGACATAATGCCATGTAACAACCTCCTGTATTTACGCCAGAAAGGATAATAAAGCCTTTTTTAATCATTCAATATCTTGATGCTGGCAAAATATAGACGTGTTTGTTTTTTTTTTACTAAAAATGTATTTTGAATCGCAGCATTTGGGGAAGCATCACGTGCCTTAACGTACAAAATATTGGGCCACACATATCTCAGGACCAGAAGAAATACATTGCCGCAAAAGCGAGCCAACTTTGAGTTGGTTTACGTTTCACCGCCGTTTAAACGTCAAGTCATTTTGCATTCAGTGACTTAACAGCAGTGGCGACCGAGCGAATGGCAATGGGGCGCTTCTATCGAGTGTTCTATTGGTGTTCTGAGACAGGTTGAGCGCAGCTTTTGGCCGGCGAACACCAAAAAGACAAACATCGTAGAAAGAGGCGGCATGTGAAAGATTTGAAGTGGGTGAAAAAACCCAACCGCAAGCTCTATGCGGACTCAACAAACTTAGGGGAGGGCCCTTTTTTATTGCCGAAGTTTGTGCAGTCCGATGAAAGGCAACGCCAGGGTGATGATACATCGGGTTTTTTTTAAGGCACTTAATTTATTGCACACAACGTAATCAATTATTGGTCCCCGACGATTGGTTCGTGCTGAACGTGCTCTCTCTGTCGTACTACCGCTTAGGACTTTTCAGGCAGTTGTACTACTGCCTAGCCCTTCGCGATCGTGCTCCGTTGCGGCTCTCCGGCGCATTGTCTGGCTGCACCGTGATGTCATTCGGCATCGATGTCCGACGTGGGCCAGGTCCCACCGTCGGACATCGATGGCGAACGGCATTGTGGAAACAGCCGTGAGACACACTGGAGAGCTAATCAAGGCAGTCGGGATGTACGCCAAGCTTTTGCTTCTCCCAGCTCGCATCGGGGTATATACCGGTCCCTTGGGTCTCCCTTGCAAGAGAGACGCGATTTTTCATTGCATCTCACTTGATTCATGGCAGTTGCTGCTATCGTTGCCAGTCGTCTAGCACGCTGTCATGGTGCGATGGGCAGCGCACACTGAACATGCTATCCAAAGAGCTCCAGTTCAAACTCCCGGTGCAGCGGATGAAACGAGGTGTCGGCTTCTTAAATGCCCCTGGCCTCTGTCGACCATAGATAGTCGATCGACAGGCCCTCCAGAGATCCTTAGAGTGGAGGCCTTTCCACCTGCAGTAGAGATCTACACAAAGCAGTCGCTACCTGTTCATTTTGACTGGGTTCTACCTATCTCTATGTAATGGAGTTCTGTTTGACGACAGGCTGTTCAGCAACAACGTTGTAAACATGCCTCTACGTATATTTTTACGTTAACCAACTTGTAAGTGGGAGGGTTACCTCCGGGCAAATCCGAATTTATTCCCAACACTGGCCAAGGTGGATCAGTAGGCGACCCTCTAAGTGAGGCTGTCATAGAACTTTCCTGTGGTGAAGGTCCTTCTGCCAACAGGGGTGTGAGCCAGGCAGTTTCAGGGCTGCGCCTTTAACCTCACTGATTGCTGCGTGCACACCGCCACCCAATCGATTGAGTTGGCTCTGGTCTTTGGCGACCAATGACCATAGTGGTGATTGGGTGCCAGGGTTAAACTTCGGTGGTACAAAATAAATACTGTGCTGTATAATGTTTTCATTTCACTATTATTAGGGTAAGGAAGTAAAAAAACACATTGAGATAAGGTATAGAAAAAGGAACCATATTGGTGAATATATTTCCAAACTTTCGAGCGGTTTACGAAGTAGTCCATCCACCAGCGGACTGAGAGGAGGGTTCCTCTGTAGTTGTGTAGATTTAGTCAAGCAGACCTTGAGGTCTGTCGAGTTGAATCATGTTTATTTTTAAATTTTATCTTACCATGTAGTCGCCTATCAACCGTGCTTACGCGGCACAGCGATAAGGAACGATGTCTTCGTTTTCAAATGTAGTAGTGTCGTGCCCCAGACGCAAATATGTTGTTGCGATTGTCGGAAAGCAGCTCCGTCCAATTTATGGTCGCCAACAGTTATCTCGCGAGCAGCTAATGAATGTGTCGTGGCGGGCAGTCGATTGCTCACCAGAAAATATGAAGCCCTCTTTTTTCACATTTTCGTTCTGGCAGCAAACGACGACAAGCAGCAGCAGTAGCAGCGTTGAGAAATGGCCCCCTCAAGTGTCCACAGCTTCACCAAAGTTCACATTAAAAGTACGTTTTCCTGCAGCGTACGCTGAAAACCAGATGTGGCACTCCAGCCGTCAAACCTTCACTCTACTCATTTGGCCTGTCTATGTGCTGAGGAAGGGCCATTGCCTGCAACGTTGCCGATTTTAGATGTTTTTAAGGCCACAGTCTTATTGACGAATGCGTTGCGTTTCTTCGTCAATATTTTTAATAGCTTGCATTGAGAGGGCTGCTCCAAAATAGTGAGCAGCGGTTTAGAGTTTAACACAGTTCTTCAAGTGGGGAATTGCGATGATTTTATACCAGGGATGCAGAAAAAGGCACTTGCGGCACTGACGCAGCGATGAAGTCAGTTCGGGTGCAGGGGCCGGGTGGATCGTTGCAACGCGGGGTTGTCAGAGGTGGCGGCTGCTTGGGGAGGCCTTCACCCAGCAGTGGATTGACCATGGCTGATGATGATGATGATAATGACGATGATGGTGATGATGATGATGAGACTGGGCACAAATTGCACCTTTTCTCTTTTAACCACATTGACAAAATAGAATGTCAATATGTGTGAAGTAAACAAATTCTTCAGTGTTAAAAATGTTTTTTTGGAAAGGGTTGAAGACGCGGTGGGGGGTGGAAAGATTATCATTTTAAAAAAAGTCACATCAACACCACAAAAGATAATTGCACCAGACACCGGTTTGTCTCATCTCCGTAGTCTCCAGCAGCGTAGCTATCGAGTGTGCAGGCGGTGCGACTGCACCGGGGCCCACAGGCCAGAGGGGCCCAGGTGTTGGCCTTACGAAGAGAGGGAGAGTTTTAATAGGGGACCCCATGGTGATTATTCACACCAGGGCCCATATCAAACAGCCTACGCCATTGTAGCCTCGTGACCAAGACTAGCCCATCATCCTCAACAAGAGACTCGGAGCAAAGTTCCACTAGCCCAGAGCCGAGACCATACCTGTGGGCATCTGTAAACCGAGCTGCTGTTGATGAAGCTGCAAATGGTGATGCTGCTGGTGTTGAAGGTGATTATGTTGCTCATGATGACGCTGCTGTTGCTGCTGGTGCTGGTGAAGAAGATGCTGCTGATGCTGCTGCTGTTGATGCTGCTGCTGCTGCAGGTGATGGTGCGAGAGGTGATGGTGCGACAGGTGATGGTTGTGGAGGTGAGGAGCGAGCGGTAGGGACGATGCGGCCGTGTGCAGCTGAGCGAGCGAAGGCAGCGCGTGCGCGGCGCCCGCCAGGTGAACCGACGAGAGGTGAGCCGGCGGCAGGGCGCCGCCGCCGAACGCGATGGCGCGGGGCCTGTCGTAGGCCCCGGCGAGGAGCGGCAGCGTCTGCGAGCGGCCCGGGCTCGCGAGCGAGCGCCGGCTCTTGCCGTGCTTGCCCGGCTTGCCGGACGACTTCCTGTTGCGCGTCTGGATGCCGTCTTTCTTCATCGTGATTGGGCGGTTCACCTGTGCGCGGCGGGGAAGGGGGGAACGGCAGCGGCGTCTCAGTATGCAGGAGGTCGTGTGTTCGATCCCGACCCTGACGCCTGCTGTATATTTGGAGTTTGTTTGTCTCTCTCCCCGTGGTCGCGTGGATTTTTCTCCGGGTCCTCCGTTTTTTTTCCCCCCACCACATTTTAGAATCAACATCGCCACGCGTTTCGAGTACTTGGCTGCAATAAATCGCCACGTGATAAGCCACTTCGTTGAGCTATCATTTGTGGCCAGGTCGCTTCTGAAAAGTTTTGCTCAGTGCGCCTTACCTGGTAGAATAAAAAAAATAGTTTAGTTTAAAAAAAATCAGCCGACGGTTCGCGCAGAGCCACTGGCAATGTACGTTGAACTTCTTTCGCGCCGTACATAGCCAACCGTGCTAATCGGAGGTGCGGGGAAAGGACAACAAACCGCGCGCGTGGCTAAGCGACGCCAGAAGGGGTGACGGCGGCCAATCGGCAAGGATGAGGATGGGGGTTGGCGGCCGAGGGAGGGGAAAGTGCCCGAGGAAAGCACGTCCACCGAGGAGATGGAGCGGCGAAATCCGCCCGCGTTTAGAACCCGGATGGATTGCGGCATCGCAGGAACGTGAAGGGGATGTCCACGGCATTGGCCGTAGATCGGTTCGTAGCAGATGGTCGTTGCTGCGGTGCGTGTCGGTCAATAGCACCGCACGACTCCGTGGGCTCGTCGCTCTGATCACCATTTGCCTGTTAACATCAGAGCGACTAGAGGCATGGATTTGCGTGTACTCGGTACTGCGGGGAGTGGCGGTGCAGTGGCTTACGCACCGCGCAACGTCGGGCCAACGTTTTTGAAGCGGTTGGAACGGTTCGCCCGACGTCGCCCGTTTTACCGGGGCACACGCGTGCGGTAGGGCAAATCGTCGTGCACCGGCACCACATCTGCGTGCGTGTGAACCCGGGGGTGTGCGCGGGTGCGCGTGCGAGCAGGCCGCCTCACGTTGTGCAGCTTGTAGTAGAGGCCGCACGCGTTGCACACTGGCTCGCCGCTCGCGTTGCGCCTCCACAGCGTCGTGGCGCTCGTCTGGCAGTTGGAGCACGCCGTGCCGCAGCGCCGCGCCGCCGACTGCACGCAAAGTGGCGGAGTCGGCAAAAAACGTTCGGCTCGGTGGCGGGGGGGGGGAGGTGGGGGAGAGGCTCGCTCACTCACTCACTCACCCCCCCCCCCCCCCCCCCCCAGAGATTCGGCGACACGTCACGGGATGGTCGAATGCGTTGTGCGGGATGACACGCGACTCCTGACGATGCCCCGCACATTGGCACGTTGGGGAAAAGCCCCGGCGGTGGAAATGCTCAGCACGCAGCCCGAAGCCCCGGAACGCCACCCTTGGACGAGGACTTTGAAGATTGCAATTGGGTGCTCGCTAACAGCACCTGCTCGAACAGGGGAACACAGCGTCGAACGGGTCTGCCTGACAACACCACTGCATCGTTTATGTGCTACGCAGTAGGGCCATTGCCCGGAACGTCGCCTATTATATCTTTATTGATTTGAAGCCCTCAGTGTTGTTTGACAAACGTGGTGATTGTTATCGTTGTTAGATTTCACTGCATTGACAAGTCTGAATCAATTCATTAACGGGATCAAGACTTGCGCTTCCCAAATGAGCGACCAGCAATTACTCACGCACATTGTAAGAGGAAACAGACGGAAGCTGAACGTTGATTTTTGTTGTGTGCCCACACAATGCATGCGTTTGCATCTTGCATGTGTTCATCTCTGCGTGCGTATATGTCTTTGTGTGTGTGTGTGCACGTGTGCAAGTGCGTGCGTATGTGTCTGCGCGTCTCTCTGCGCATATACGATTGCATGCGTGTGCGTGCGCGCGTGTGCGTGTGAGCGTGCGTGCGTGTGAGCGTGCGTGTGAGCGTGCGTGTGTGCGTAAGTGTGCGTGTGAGCGTGCGTGCATGTGTGTGTGTGCGTGTGAGCGTGCGTGTGTGTGTCATGTGTGTGTGCGTGCATGCGAGCGTGCATGTGTGCGTGCATGTGCGTGTGTGTGTGAGCATGCGTGTGTGCATGTGCGTGTGTGCGTGTGTGCGTACGTGTGCGTGTGAGCATGCGTGTGTGCGTGCATGTGCGTGTGAGCATGCGTGTGTGCATGTGCGTGTGTGTGTGCGTGTGCGTGTGAGCATGCGTGCGCGGTGCCTACCGGTCGGCGCTTAGGCCGGATGAGCGGGCGGTTGTGCCCGTTCATCTTGTGGTAGAGGCCGCACGCGTTGCACAGGTAGTGTCCGTTGGCGTCCCGCCTCCACAGCGGGGTGAACGTAGCTCCGCAGTTGGCGCATTCACGGCCCTCTGACGCACGGGGAGGGGGCGAGACGGGGGGACTGAGGCTTGTGGTGCTGCAGTGCAAGCCAAGGCTGACACAATGACATCTTGCACACGTGCGTGTCGTGCTCGCCAACGGCACTTGCCCCAACAGTCTGTCACGGCTATACGGGGGATCTTTGTCTTGTGTAGAAACGGTGGTTGGCGCACTGTGCGACGAACCTGGTCACCTGAGTTCGACATCGCAGTGGCAAATGTCTGAACAGGTTCGTGGGCCTCCCCGAGGTCAACTCAGCCTTAAATACGTCCCTGATGCAGGTGTGTCATTATCAGCATTGGGGATACAAACGCGGCCAGGCGTGTGGTGTTGGCCATGCCACACGATTGTGCACTGTGCCAGCCTTTATAGGGCTTGCTCCAACAGCCTGTTAAGGCTGTATATGGGAGCGGGGGGCGGGGGCTTTATCTTCGTGAGTGACGATGCACATCATCCACTTGACACTCCTGCAAACTCCCTTCCTGTGCCCAACGTTGGTCTGTGTGTGAGCTGGGTGATGCTGCAGCAGGGCCGTGAGCAAAGACATCTCGTTCATGCGTCATCTCTCTGCGTTGATAAAATAAGGATGTTTTTTTGTTTCACTCGATTTTGACATTCCTACCCAGTAAGGCTGAATTTATGTGAGACTTTTAACTGTAACATATAGGAGGAGCGTTCGTATATTGTGGTACAGAACGGAGGGTGTGGGCTTATTTTTTTAATGTGAATGTTTGAGCATTCTACGCTGGCTTGTGTGTATTTGTTGTTGTTGTTGCAGCTACTCTGATTTCCAACCACACACCAAATGTATTGAACAACAGATTGGTCAAACATCTCAAGTAGCACCCTCATAAATAAGCAAACAGAATCTGGAATGGTGGTCTAAATTGTACAAATTGTGTTACATGAAAATAGAATCTGGAAGGTGAATTACTTTCTTCACAGATGATGGGGAGCATACATCTGTGGGTGTTTATTGAGCACGACACTTAAAAAGCAATTTCGAATCTTTGGCTGAACCTGCGCGTTGAGTGTAATCACAATCATAATTTATGGGGGCCCAATCTCTGACATTCTGGTTTTCGGATTTTTCCCGTTATAATTTTTTCTCGTTATATATTCTAGTTGTGCCAAGATTTCTACTTTTAAGAACATTTACATCCGTGACGCTTGCACTCCGTCATGATCGTTTGTTTATATTACTTCATACTATTTCAGTATCTCAATCTCAAATATAGGACTGCAAATGTTCCCAAACTATTTTGGCATTAACACTCCTGAGCAGTTCCAGCGGTAGATTGACAAAGGCGCTGTATACTGCATTACACAATGCTCCATAGCAACAACAACAACAATAATGATAGGACGTATTAAACTAACACGTGTTCCTCTTTCCACTGTCACGAGCCAAGCCGGCACAGGGGCCCTCGTGGTACGCGTGGTTTTTCCACTGGCTATTTGCCATGCCGAGCTGGAACCAAAAACCGTGATAACACGGCCTACCAAGATGTGCAAATCTAGCTCGGTGGGGGCACGTAGCGCCGGGGGAGCACGGGGGCTAATGGCTCGTGGATTTAAAAAAAGAACCTGGCGCTTTCTGAGCTGACTTGGCATTGTCCCCACACACGGCTCGGTTTTGTGGTGGAAAATAGATGTTCCCGTCCCGGTCACGGCAAACATCGGTGGCGAGTCGACGTCGCAGCTCGTTTGGCCGGCGACCCACCACCATTCACCACCAACCCGCATTGACCGGCTTGGGCGAGTACGGTCAAATACCGGCCCAGAAATCGACACGATGTGGGTGAGGCCTTCGTTCGGCATTGGAATGAAAAATCTAATTAACGGTTGGAATATTTTCGACAACCGCGTGTGCGCGCGTGCGTGCATGGCTTCCTATTTACCCATGCCACCGCGGCCCCTGCCCCTGCCTCGGCCGGCCTCCCCCTCCTCGTCGTCCCCGTCCGGGTGGCCCGGCAGGCACGCCGGGTAGGCGCCCAGCGCGGCGGGGAACCCCGCCGGCTCCCCACGCTCCTCGAGGCCCGGGGGGCCCGGGCTGCCCTCGCTCCGCGGGGACGGCGATGCCCCCGCTGCCGTCCCCGCCCCCTCGGCCCCGCTCCCCGGATCCGTGTCCGGCGAGGCTCCGCCGCCGGCGCCGCCGTTACGGCCGTTGCCGCCGCCCTCCTTTGGCGGCGTCGGGGGCAACGGGAAGCCCCGCTCGCCGCGGGCGGGCGGGGCTGCCAGCGGCGTGGCGTGGGGGTACGGGGACGGCCGCGCCTTGGCCAGAGGCTCGCGCAGGGCCCAGGCGGTGGTGACGGCCGCGTGGCTCAGCTGATTCAGGTGGCTGAGGTGGTGGTGGTGGTGGCCGTGGTGCAGGTGGTGGTGGGGGTGGAGGTGGTGGTGCGGAGGAGCAGGAGTGGACGAGTTGCTGCCGCTCTCCTGCAGCCACGGGAATCGCAGCTGGGGCCTGCACATGGGGTGGGCCGTGCCGGCCAGACGAGCTGCAACACACGGGCCACGGGACATCACCAGCAGCGCGACCGTCAGTGAAAACCTGCGGTCATTGTCTAGGTGGACAAGAGGGCCGAGTACACTCTCTCTCTCTTTGATGTTTAAGTCGTAAATCCAGCTGATGGCTTCAGAGCACAAAGGGCGAATCCCACTCGTGCCCTCTGAGACTCTAAGGGCACTGATCTTGCACCACGGAGATCCTGAGTTCATCACCATATTTAGTGAGCAAAAGCAGATTTCACTAAACTTATGAGGTCACTTCTCATCCACACTTGGGTACCAACATTCCCATGTCCCCTAGCCCACAGTGAAATGCTCATTGCACGGAATTTACCCAAACTAAGTGACAAAAACTAAATTTATTTCGGCACAGCCATCATAAAGTGCCCACCACGAAACTTAGAGCAGACTAAGTTTTCACTCCATTTCAACAAAACATATCACTCTAAGAATTACATTTATCATTGATGGCCACACGGTGGACATTTATGTGTACGGCGGGATGTATGGGAAAGCGCTCCTCCTGGGGTGAACAAGATGTCACTCGAAGGGGTTTCGTAAGTTTGGTCAAATCTGCTTATGTCCTCTGGACTGCACTCGTGGGCACCTCTTCTCGTAACACCGAACAGCACAAGTAGAATGGCATTGCATACAAATTAAATTAAAAACCTTTTGGTCATCTTCATTCTTGGTTAATCAGCGATGGGCCTCATGCCTAAGTCCTTTACAGAGCCGCTCCATGTTTAGTTAATCAACGAGATGTGACTAAAGATTTAACATAAATGTTTACTTAGGACTCCACAAATTACTGAGAATTAACTAAGTGTGCTGTCTGCCTTAGTAAAGTGGATATTAAATACCGCGAGATGTAATCATTCACAAAACTAGGTCATCCTCGCAGCAGCGGCTCTTGGCTGGGCATCGAACAAAGACGGTCACCGCATTGCACGCTTTCAGATGGCCGTCTGGAACGCTCTTCCTTCCGATGTTAGGAAGCCACTGTGGCTACGCATTTTAAATTTTAGATTGAAAAGTAATTGATTTAAAACTGAATTTTGGGGTTAAGTTTGTTGTCTTTCCCCCGCATCTCCGATTAGCACGGTTGGCTACGTACGATGCGAAAGAAGTTCAACGTAGACACATTGTGTCCGGAAGAAACAAATACGTATTACTTCTCCACAGTGAAACGGTACAAACATGTTCGCTACGGAGACAGAACTATGGAACGGCAGCTAATGGAGGAGACAACGCGTCCTGGAAGGGACCCCACGCTGAGATGGAGGGATTAAAATTCGCTCGCGTGCGGGAAGGAGATTGATTGTTGCATCACAAGTCCATAAAAGAGATGATGATGATGGCTTGCGGATAAATCTCACCAATAGTGGATATATCTCGCCTGTTGTTGCTGATGGTTATACTATCATACAGGATTGTTCTTACGTTTGTACAGCGAGATCTCGTCACGTCTCGTGACTGGCAGGATGATTTACATCTTGAGGATGGAGTTGGTGAGCGGAGAGTGTACTGTAGCCAGGTAATTTGTGCTAAACGAGTGGGGGGTGGGGGGGAACGGGCAAAAGTTGGGAAAAGTGCGAGCACAGGAGAAGTCGACGACAGGCAGCCGAGCGAGCGGAGTTGGCCAACATCTGCACCCCGAGGAAAGTAACATCCTGCGTGCATCCAAAAAACAACAACAACAACTACACACCGCCACCCCCCAAAAGTAATGAAGACAAAATGTAGCACGCGGCATACTGGTGCTCAGGTCTCTCGACTGTGTGGGTGAGCCTCCGCGCCCCCGATTAGCGCGGTTGTCCGCGCACGGTGCGAAAGTTCAACGTGTAATTACAAACGGAAAGCAACAGAGTAATGACGCTGCGTGCCAGCGGCATCAGACGGCGCGCGTGCGAGTGAGGGAGTAAGAGGCGCGCACGCGCCCACCGAACAGAGGCCCCCTCGGCAGGCACGCCCGACAACTCGCCACGGTTCACGCGAATCGACAGAGCGCCGAGGTGTAGCTCGGGCCAGCCTTGAGAGGGAATGTCGGATGAGAGAGACGCGAGGCTGGCTGCTGCTGCTGCACCGCAGCGAAGGGAGGGAGACCTCCCCGCGGATGAGGTGGGGGTGGAGGTGGGTGGAGGTTTAGCCGCAGGGCGCTCGGCTCGCTAGCGTCGTTTGTCAACAGTTTAAGAAGGGCCTTCGAATTTGCCTTGGAGCCCCCGGGTGTCCCACCGCGTGTCCTGGCTGTCCCGCTGCTCGCTCGTTTCCTGGCATCGTCTCACCCGCCGCCGCCGCCACCACCACAGGTTGGGTGCCGTCCATAAATGACGTCACGCGATTTTTGACGGTTTGTGACCCCCCCCCCCTTCGTCACACGGCGTCACAAAAAGACAGCCCCCCCCTCAAATATGACGTCACAAAGATCTGCCCCCTCCCCACCCCCCCCCCAAAATAACACGCTTCAAATCGCTTTAAACTATTGTCATTGTAGTGCGTTTTTCATGTGGCGCTACGCTCTGATGTTGTTGTCGGAAAAAAACATTTATTGAAAAGTCTATTTAAGTAGAACGTGTTGTCTCTATATTTATTTAAAGTTGCGCATTTTGATGTGACGTCACATTTCTCAAACACTCCCCCCCCCCCCTTCGGCACACATCGTCACAAATGTCTGACCACCCAACCCCCCCCCCCCCCCAGGTACGTGACGTCATTTATGGACGGCCCCATTTGCGAGTGTGCGCGTGTTTGGACCGAGTCGAGTGGAATCGCGGTGGGGCAAATCGTCGTCACGTTGCACCCAGCGAGGACGGCCACGCGCGTTCCGATTGGCCGCTCACGGCCAGCATCGATCGGTTGACGAACGTTGTGGACCGCTCGACTCGGTCACTAAAGTGAGCGCTGTACCAGGCGCGGTGCACCAGCATCAGCGCTGGGGAGGCAAATTGCGGCACAGCGTGATGCCAGCGGATGTTCACGGTGGCTGGTGAAATTAGACGAGTGAAAAATGGCACGAGGGACTTTAATAATGATAGGTTATAATCTATTTAATTCAGATTTCTATGTAACACTACTTCTAACTGTTAGTACAATCCCGTTTACCGCGATACCTTAATTTTCCTTTGCACGATCGCCGTGTCGCTGATGCGGTACTTGATTCCTTTACAATAGGTATCTATTTAGTGTTTGAACATTTTTAAACACCAATTATTTTTTGCCGAAAAGGAGTAAAACCTATTATTGTTATTATTATTTTTCATGCAGCGTGCAACAATTTAATCTTGATTTGAAGCTTTCGTGACTGCGGGAATCAAAAACTCTTTGATTTATTCGGTAAAGTCACGCAGGCAGAAAAAAAAAATCACGACGTTTCGATCGCAACACAAACATCTCTCGTCATTGATGATGACGAGAGATGGATACGGGGAGAGAGTGGGGCACGGGGAGAGTGACATCGATGATGACGATTGCTTGCGTTGCGATCGGAACGTCGCGATCTATTATTATTTTTCTACCTGCGTGAATTTACCAAAAGAACCACAGAGTATAGCGTGAAATGTGTTTGTCCCCGAGTTGTTCAACTTGTGCCATTTTTTGTGAAGGACAGCACCGTGCTGCTTAAGAACGACAACGGTGCTCTTACGCTGTCCCAGCAGCAGCAGCAAGCTATGTCCCCTACACGGGAATGCTAAGGCCAGGCAGCAGTAGCAGTGCCTCCCTTGCCTCGTGTCCAGAGACTCATCCATCCTCATTCCTCAATGTCTCTCTCACGCGTGCCCCAAACGTGTTGAGTATCATATCGTGGCTTTATGCTCTTAATCTAGGCGTATAAGACCCCGCTGAGATGGACTGTACGTGCATTGTCCTCGCATTTAACCACGATGGCCAGTCGAGATTTATTATTCATTAATGTCCCGTATTTAACCATATCAGAGACCATTGAGATGCATCATTTCTGGGTGTCCTTTAACCACACGAGAGCGCGCTGAGGTGCAGCGTCCTTTATTTAACCACGATACCCCGTTGACATTCATTATTTATTCACGTTCCGTATTCAACCAGACGAGAGTCAACTGAGCTGCTTTAAGTCCTGCACGTCCTTTATTTAAGCTCGCGAGAGCCCAGTGATGTGCATTCGTCTCGCTGTAATAATCTCCGTGTTACGAACGTCGGTGTCAAATTCTGAGCGTCTGTCTTTGAGTGTTGTTGCTCTCAACTGCGAAGCGCGTTTGACGGACCAGCGCTGGCGAGTGTCGCAGCTGCGACATCCGCCGCTGATGTGCACGCACAATGATCGCGAGCCTTGTGGGGAAATTTAATTAACAAATCCGTATCCGTCTTGCCACGTAGAGAAACGCGAATTTATTTATTTATTTTAAATGTTCACGACACGTAAGCAGTACATATAGCTGCAAAATATGTATGCCAGCATACTTTGCATGTTAAGACGACATCACCTGCTTGTTGTGAGGCTTGCAGGCCTTTACTTCGCACATTTAAAATGCCGCAACTGTTGTACTATACTGTCTGTTACATATATGGTCCAACGTTTATACTTCCCGCCTTGACCAACGTGGTGAAGTATGACCAAATAACCCTAACGACCCTCACGGCGTGGGGAGAGGCCCTCATCCAGCAGTGGATTGAGACTGGGCTGTGTATGTACACCAGAAGGAAAAGACAACAGGAAATACGGATAACAGAGGTTGTCGGTTCATAGGCAAATGTCTGAAATCCACTGAGTCTGCCCAGCAGTGTAAATGGTTACGCCAGACAGTCGCGGGTTAAACTGTGGGTACTCCCATCCCTTCAGAGATGGATGGCCTACGTGGAAGAGGAGGCCTCTAGAGCTCCCTCGAGTGGAGGCCCTTCCACCAGCAGTGGCGTGAGCGAAGAATTTCGGGGCTGCGCCTTTACATTTGAATGCATTGTTTTATTTAAGTTGTCTGCCTCCCGTGTCTCCCTCTTCCCGTGACCCTCTCCCCACATTGCTCTCCCTTCCCCTTGCCCCACTTGCCGCATCTCCCTCTCCCCGTGACCATCTCTCCCCGTGTCCATCTCTCCCCGTGTCCATCTCTCCCCGTGTCCATCTCTCCCCGTGTCCATCTCTCTCCGTGTCCATCTCTCCCCGTGTCCATCTCTCCCCGTGCCACTCTCCCCGTGTCCATCTCTCCCCGTGTCCATTTCTCCCCGTGTCCCTCTATCCCCGTGTCCATCTCTCCCCGTGTCCATCTCTCCCCGTGTCCATCTCTCCCCGTGTCCATCTCTCTCCGTGTCCATCTCTCCCCGTGTCCATCTCTCCCCGTGCCACTCTCCCCGTGTCCATCTCTCCCCGTGTCCATCTCTCCCCGTGTCCCTCTATCCCCGTGTCCATTTCTTCCCGTATCCATCTCTCCCCGTATACATCTCTCCCCGTGTCACTCTCCCCGTGCCCCACTCTCCCCGTATCCATCTCTGCCCGTGTCCATGTCTCCCCGTGTCCATCTCTCCCCGTATCCATCTCTCCCCGTGTCACTCTCCCCGTGCCCCACTCTCCCCGTATACATCTCTGCCCGTGTCCATGTCTCCCCGTGTCCATCTCTCCCCGTATCCATCTCTCCCCGTGTCACTCTCCCCGTGCCCCACTCTCCCCGTATACATCTCTGCCCGTGTCCATGTCTCCCCGTGTCCATCTCTCCCCGTATCCATCTCTCCCCGTGTCACTCTCCCCGTGCCCCACTCTCCCCGTATACATCTCTGCCCGTGTCCATGTCTTCCCGTGTCCATCTCTCCCCGTATCCATCTCTCCCCGTGTCATTCTCCCCGTGCCCCACTCTCCCCGTATCCATTTCTGCCCGTGTCCATCTCTCCCCGTGTCTCTCACCGTGAGTCGCTGCTCTGTACTCCGCACTCGCCCCAGACACGTTCGGATGTCCCTGAGCATCCAGCAGCCCCACAAACACCTCCAGATCCTCACTGTGCAGCGGCATGGGCTGCTGCTGATGATGATGTTGTTGTTGTTGCTGCTGCTGATGCTGCTGCTGGTGTTGATGATGCTGATGCTGCTGCTGTTGCTGCTGCTGCTGATGGTGGTGGTGATGATGGAGGTTGCCGTGAAGTTGCCCCGGCACAGCTGCACCCAGGAGCGGGTTCGCATCCCCATATCCATGCGAGAGCCCCGGGGGTGCTTCGAGCACCCCCGTGCCCTGGGGGCTGCCATGCCAGCGAGCCAGGTGCTCCACCATCACCTCCATGGGGGCCCCGCCTGCAAAAGGAATCGCAATCATCAGCGGCCATGATCAACCCACTGCTGGCTGAGGGCCTCCCCGCGCCGTGCGAGTTACGGTGTTTTATTTCGTTGCACTTGGTGCGGTGACGAGTCCTGGTGATAGCGCGTTCGCCGCTTGTTGCAGAGGTTCACGGTTCGTATTCAGCGGCCGCCCTGGTTATTACCGCGGGTCTTATAACAGCCTGCCTCACAGTGGGCATTAAAGATCCCTCCATGTAAATTCGGAAGGGTTAGGCCATTGTGTGCTGGTGTCGTGGTAAAAAAAAATCCAAATTTGAAAGTCACCCACAATTACAGCCGAAATCATGGCCGAGATGACTATAGCATATTAGGCTTATCATGGTCTCTGAAGATCTCACCTGGTTAAACAAAATAAACCCAAGGTAAACACTCTTTGCCGGCCGGTCAACACGGTTGGTTGAAGACGGAGAGCCACACACGGGGGAGCATAGAAAGTACCGTCCGACATTGGGTTGTTGCTACACTGCCCCTTTGCTGCCCGGCGCAACAGTGCAACCTCCCAACAAACTGCTCTTAGGCGGCGCTCGCCCACCAGGTTCCAGCCTGCTCAGCTTCCGAGATCTGACGAGATGAAGCGAATTGTTGCGAGTGATTTGTCGGAGCGGTGCTGCTGCAGAATATGACGCAATCATTGTTATCGCAACACTGCGAAGTTGATCTGTCTGATGACTTGGGCTGTGACGTGCGTACGTGCTCAAAGCGGCACCGAAGTTCTATCCTCGGACACGGCTAACGTCAGTGGCGAGTGAAACTTGGACAGGCCTCTGGGATCTTCACCTGCCGGCACTGACCAACGTGGTGAATCATGGTCGAATAACCCTCGTGATTGAAACGGCGTGGGGAGGGCCTTCATCCAGCAGTGGATTGACAAAGCGCTGCAAATTGTTATATTGAATTCATGATTGTAAAAGCTATCAACTAAAATAGTTGCATTGTACCAGGTAAAGCCCACTGAGCTATGTAGCACTTTTTCAGAAGCGACCTGACCGCAATTTATAGGTCAACGAAGTGGCTTATCACGTGGAAATGTATAGCAAGAGCCAAATACTCTAAACACGTTGATTCTAAATGTGGAGGGAAAAACCGGAGGACCCGGAGAAAAATCCACGCGACCACGAGGAGAATACGTACACTCCAAATATACAAGCGTCAGAGTCGGGTTCGAACCCACGACCGCCTGTAAACCAGGCGAGATAGTTAACATCTCGCCACCGTGGAACCGGGTGGAGCGGTGGAGTGACGCAGTGGTTTGCGTGCTGCCCGAAGAACCGGCCACCTCAGTTAGATTCCCGGCCACAGTTAACATCACTGGCATCAGATGTCTGTACTGGTGCTGAGCTCCTGCTCTTCACCAACCCCCACTGACTGGCGTGGTAAAGTATGATCAAACTAGCCCTATGACCGACACAGAACGAAAAGGCCTTCAGCCAGCAGTGGATTGTCAAAGGGCCATACTTAAGTATTACTCCCTGTATCTATCCAGAAAAGCCTCACTGACTCAAAACTATATCATCAGGAGGGTCCTACGATTGTGGTGCTTGGCTAATTTACCTTGTGGCTAGTGGGAGGAATCGTGAGAATCTAGAGACAACCAACACGTGCCAATTAAAGCTCCCCACAGATGGATTCAAGAACCCGTGAAGAACCCATTCCATCCGACCACCTTGCAGCCGAGCGGCTTTGGGAGTTTCACCAATCTCTGCGTGGTCCACCAACCCTTGCCTCCAAAGCGCCGTTTCACGGAAGTGCACGACTGCACTATTGAGATTTTGTTTAAAGTCAAAGTAAAATTCCACATTCCCTTGGCATAGGGCGAGTTGTTCCATAGCCCGTGGCTCACATTTGAAATTGTTGCAACTTTAAATCCCAATTTAGGGTCAACTCAACTCTCCGTGCGTCTCTAGTCGGTAACAAAAAAACCCTTCTGCTTCTTTAAAAATCAACCGTGGATTATAAATGGACACCGTGCTTTTGCAGCATATAGCCGTTGGTATAAACTCGGATATGCCCGGAGATAATCACCACTTAGAAGCGGACAACCACTCAAAATATATAGAGATGGGTTAACAACCGACTTGCTGTACAGCACGTCGTAAAAAATGAAAACCTTTATTGCGAAGAGATAGATAGACTGTAATGCGATGCTCTATTATGGGGTCACTGTGGCGAAGATAAACGTACAGCCCCGGAGATGATTTGCTCACGCCACTGCTGGCAGAGAAGGGCCTCCATCAACTTCAATAAGCTCTGGAGAAGCCCCTCTTAGAGTCTCGTTGGCCAGACGTCTTCCAAGAGGTGTGAGTATCCACGCTTTACACCCACTAAGCACAGCATGCAAACTCATCCACCGGCCGATTTTGTGTTATTAACTTTGGTGTGTGCTGCTGGATGGGTGAACAGAGATAAAAGGGGAGGCGAAGGGGGTGGTAAGGAAACCTGCCCATCGATTCAATTGCCGCCACGGGAAATCGAACCGGCGACCTCTGGACCGCAAGTCCCGTGTGCGCGTCATCTCCCCTACGGCATCGTCCCCGGCGTGTCCCTCTGATCCTTTTATGAGTTCAGCGCAGAACAGAAATATTAACCGATTCATATTTCCGTTCGCAGCCGCTCACTGACGGGTGGATTTTTTTCGCTCCTGCTTTACTTTTTCACTGCTGGCGTTTGTCACGGAACAAAGCCGTCCAACAAACAACAAAGTGGAGCGGTGGCGCAGCGGTTAGCGCACCGCGCTACGTACCGGGCGACCATGAAATGTATTCCAGACAACGGCTCACATCAGTGACGATGAGTGACATCTGAATTTGTCCTGACTGCCCCTCCCCTTCAGGAACCTGCACTGTAGCCAGCGTGGTGAAGTACGGCAAAGCATCCACCGTAATAAAAGACACGGCATTGAGATGCCTTCAATTCATTAATTTGATTAAAATATAGTTCGTTAATTGGCCACGTATATTTCAATCATTGTCAATGAATTACTTCATCCAGCAGAAGGTTAACAAAGGGCAGTGCAGTTTATATTTTTGTGATAATTATAGCAGTGCTCATAAATCCAAACTATGATACCGTACTGGAGCGAATTGGTGTGATACGCGACGTATAAGACGACTTATTCCGAACGAAACAAAAACCCCCAATGCTCTTTCTATCGCGTGTAGATTATCCTTTTGCGTGTGGCAGCAAGCGACTTGTCCAGGAGCGACGTGCCACTGTCGAGGTCTGCTGGCTACGACTAGAGGGCTCAGGAGAGAGGGAGGAGAGGGAGGGGTGGAGTCGCTTTTTGTTATCGCTCCTCTGTGCAACGAATGCAGACTACAGCGCTTCACTATTCGGACCGTGATTCTTTCTGCACGTGGTGCGGACTGTTTGTGTGCACAGAGACGGCGCCGTGTGGAAGGGTTGGTCGTGATGCGGCTGCTTTGAACGTGCACTCCACTTGCACCGCTGCACAAGCGATTGACAAAGGGCTAAAAATAATTATGATGATGATGATGATGTTGGGGAGCAGTGGTGTAGCGGTTAGCGCTACGCTGCGCTACGAACCAGGCGACTCAGGTTCGATTCCCGCTCACGGCCAACACCAAGTGACGTTTATCTGAACAGGTTCTGGGCCATCCCCTAGGTCGACTCAGCCTCAAATGAGTACCTGGTGCGATGTGTAAACATCCCCAATAGGGAGATAAAGGCGGCCGGGCGTGGTGTTGGCCACCCACCCCTTCGTGTGACGTGCCGGCCTTCATAGGTGCTCGCTAACAGCACTTGCCCCAACAGTCTGTTAAGGCGACACGGGGGATCTTTGTCTTTGATGTTGTTGGTTTAGGATGAAGATATTTTCGAAAAACAAATAAACGTTCCCAATTCGTTCATTGAACGTATGCATGTACGCGTGTGTGTTGAACTTCTTTCGCACCGTACGTAGCCAACCGCGCTAATCGGAGGTGCGGATGAGCGCGGTTGGCCACGGACGGCTGGAAGTCACACGCAGTACTTTGTGACGCACGTATTTGCATACCGCACCTCTAAATAATTATTCATTGTAGTCATTGTTGGAGAACACAAAAAAATAGCATTTAAGAAACAGAAATTGTCTCTCCTTCACATACCCGTTTCTCCATATGCAAAATCTATCATTATTATTCGCACAACAGCATTGGCTCAAGACAAGCAACCCCCTGAACCGGCTTCGACACTGAGTGTCTCATCAAGCAGGAGCCAGGCTCTCTTAAGCGAACCGCAGCTCCCGACAGGCAAGGAAGCGCCTTCTGTCTGCGCTATGGGGTCACAGATCAATGCGAAGTTACATAGCGATGTACATAACTCGAGATCATCTCTCGACCCCGGTGTGGAGAAAATAAATCGCACGTTAAAGCAGCGGACAGGACGCGCTCCCTTCTCACCACGGCGCATTCAGAGTGGCACTGTCACTCAAATCGCGCTTATCGGAGCAATTGTCATGATGGACTGGGGAGGCAGATGCCGCATCAAGCAGTGAGCCATCAATTTGTTTTCAAGACCCCGTCCTCGATACGCCAACTCCCGCAAGAGAGCTGCATCCTTGCTATAAAGTCCGCCAGTTCATTATATTTTAGACGTTATTTGGTGATCAAGCTAAGCACGAGTAATACGTAAAACGCAACACACTAGTCAACGATACTGCTGTAAAAAAAAGTATATATAATCGACGACGTTTCTGGCCATAGCCCTTCTTCACGTCACATATTTCAGTATTATAATTGTTATCACAATTATACCGCATCAATAATAATTGTTATCACAATTGTGCCGGATCAATAATAATTGTTATCACAATTGTGCCGGATCAATAATAATTGTTATCACAATTGTGCCGGATCAATAATAAAATGCGATCCACTGCGCTTGGTCGATCCACTAGTGGATAAAGGCCTCCCCATGCCGTGTCGGCCGCGATAGCTGTTCGACCATACTTCACCGGACTCATCACTGGTGTTAGGCCGTGGACAGGGGGTAGCCGGACGGCAAATCCTCGCAGCTTCCACCTGCGCCTCATCGCCATCCCCGTAGCATCGCCACGTGCGCCGCTGTGACTACCATTAGCATCACAATTCAGGTCCATCATTAACACGTGCCTATGCGTGGTTTTGAATGCCGCATTACCATAGCCATTGTTGGTAAGTCTCATTAATTACTCACGTGAATAGAGTCTCCAGTTGAGCTTGAGCGCCAAGGCGCACCGGGGGGTGGTGGCGTGGCCGCCACCATGCCTGGCCGCCTTTGTCTCCCCATTGTCCGCACCAGGTATACTTATTTAAGGTTCATTCAAATTCGGGGAGACCCAGGGCCGCAGCTTCAGACGCCACTCGCAGCTGACGTTTGTGATCAGCGGACCGTGAATCTAACTTAGATCGCAGTGCGCGACCCGCCGGCCCACCACACGGCTCGCTGCATAAACACTCACCTCGATAGGACGCTCTGGCCGGGGTTGGTGGTAGCTCCTGGGACGGGTGATGAAGCGGTTATATCTATGGGGACGTCGCTCGCTGTTCGTGCGTTTTTGTTTCCTTGAGTTGCCTGTCTCAGCTGCAGGGGCGCGTGTTTTTCGTTTCCTCTCGCAGGCGTGGCTGCGCGTAACGCTACAGAATCTGCCACCCCCCCCCCCACCTCACGCGCCCCTGTGATGTTCACCTAAGAACCCCTCTCTCCATCCACGTGCGGTGACCACGGTCAGCAGAGCGAGCAAGTTTAAGCGGTGCCCTTACTCGTGCCGGGGTCTTCACTGCGCTACGCGATGCTGACGGAGCGTGGATGGCGCACCCCACTTCCTGCAGCGACGCAGAACGGCGCTCAGAGCTCCCGTTTCGTGCGATGCGCCGATGCCATCATCGCCAGCACCGTCGGTGGGCAGGAGCCGTCCACTTTGAAGCGCGCGGGGAGGAGGAACGCGCACGTCCCTCTTTACCGCCCTGCAGCCCGGCGAGATGATTGGCTCCAAGGGGGTCACCCAATTGAAACGCTCCGGACGCGAGGAGGGAGGTCTCGAGTCGCGGTGGGGCGCGGTGGCTGTGTGAGTGCCGCGGGGGTGGTGAGGCACGCGTGCAGGTGAGGGCCACTGCCTCCCCCCCGCCCTCCACCACGCCGGGGGTGAAGGGGGATTATCCTGCATGAGGGTTTGGAGCAGTTCGTGTCCTACCAATACCTCGATGCTGACCTCGTCAGAGGGCATAAACCATCAGCACGCGAACTCCGCTCATCCTCGCAGCGGCGGCTTTTTGGCTGCTGGACATCGAACAAAGACGCATCGCGCGGCGCTTCTAAATGCCCTGTGGCCGTCTGGGATGCTCTTCCGATATTCGGGGAGCCATTGGAGCAATGCACTTTAAAATAGTCCAGATTGAAAACGAATTTCTTTAGAACCGCTTTTTTTACGTTTAGTCTATCCTTCCACCCGCAGCTCCGATTAGCTCGGTTGGGCTACGTACGGTGTTAGAGAAGTTCAAAATAAATCAATATATTGGTTGGGCATGGATATGTACAATATTGCAATCCAGAAGGTTGCCGGTTCAATACGATTATCTGGCGCGGCAGATTGAACAATGCACGTTTCTTAATGTCCTTCCCCCCGCCTCTGTCCACCAATCAGTAGCGATGGAGACACCGTAGCGTGTGGTGGGGCACAACGTGGGTAATCCCACCTCTTGCGCGGTGGCGAAATGTTAACTACCTCGCCTAGTATACAGGAGGTCACAGGTTCGATCCCGACCCCGACGCTTGATCTATATTTGGAGTCTGCGTGTTTCTCTCCCCGCGGTCACGTGGATTTCCTCCGGGTCCTCCGGGTTTGCCCTCCACATTTTGAAACGTGCGTTTAGAGCATTTGGCTGCTATAAATGCCCACGTGATGATAAGCCACTTCGTTGAGCTATCATTTGTGGCCAGGTCGCTTCCGAAAACAGCTCTCTATATATATAGCTCAGTGGGCCTTACCTGGTAAAATATATATTGCAATCGTTTACAATTCCTTCCAGGACGTCTGAGCAGCGTGGGGGGGGGGGGGGGGGACATACCGTCATAGAGGGGATCTCTAGGGCTCCCTCTCGTGTTTGCCCTTCCGCCAGCAGTGAGTAAGGAATTGCAGGGCTGCGCCACCTCATCTATTGAGGTGTCCTCTACTCATGCAGTAGTGTCGCCTCGATGCTGGACTGTAGACTGTAGCAGACTGTAGAGGAGAGAGAGAGGGGGGGAGAAACACAGCTTCCGTGCAAATGAGCTGCGCGCTTCCCAACTGAGATAAGGCATGCGAATGCGTGATGATGTTGGGAATGCTGCTGCTACTTATACTGCTGTTGTTGATACTACATATGTCTACTGCTAATGATCATGACGGTTCGATTATTGTTGGCGGCTGATGCTGATGCGTCTGGTAAGTGGTTGTCAGGTTAGCGGCGAGTTGTCTCGTGGCTTTGAATCGTGAATTCAGCCGGGTGGTGGTGGCTATACACGTGGCCCGTAATCCGGCACTGTGGAGGCAGCGACGGTTGGTGAATCGCCGCACAAAATGTTGTGAAGCTCCCTTCCCGTGGGCGTCGATGGGGTTGTCATACGCTGGCTCGCCGGAAGAAGGCACTACAGCAGGTGGACTAATCGCAATCTGTTTCCGTCTGTACGGGGAGGCCGTGTTGCTCCCTCGTGCGTGTGTGGGTTTTCTCCGGGCGCTCTGGTTCCCGCCCACTTGTATATAGTAAACAGTCGTCATTAATTGGCTTAAAAGATATTAACATTTAGAATCCAATGAAAGAACCTCCTGCGGCTCAGTGTGGCCTTCCTGGATAAATCAGTCAATTATGAATACGATTAATTTGAATGCTGATCGTCAAGTGAATACAGTATCCCATCACACCGCTCGCAGGATAGATTGTCGGTATTGTGGCAGCATTCCTTCGACTCAGTGGCGTCACGAAGGACGGACAGAAGGGCTCATTTCGATCAGTATACACCAGACACGCGGGCTTGAAGAAAAGCCACGTCTAACATATGGAGCTTAACCTGGGACAAAGTGACCTTGACGAAGATGGTTTACGGCACTGGGGGAACGGTGGTGCCAGTAGCGAGAGACGGAGCCAACGGGGGGGGGGGGGGTGGAAAGGGGGGAGCAAATGAAAGGCGAACGGATGAGGAGGCAGATGAGCAATACACGAACCTATGGGAGGGTTCCATAGGCATGCGAAGGATTGACTGTCACTCGTAATAGTTTTTTTTTGTATGATCGCGTACATATTTAAATGTGCCGTTAAACCCGCCAGCAAATGTGTCGGGTGGTAACCAAAAGCACCGGTTTTATGGATGATATTAGTCGCGACAGCCTACGTGTTAAATTGACTGTCACTCTAAACTAAACTAAAATATATAGTTTTTTTTTTATTTTACAAGGTGCTGCACACTGAGCAAGCATAGCTCTTTTTAAGAAGGGACCTGGCCGAAAGTAATATCGCAACGAAGTGGCTTATCATCATGTGAAAATTTCTAGCTGTCGAATATTCTAAAAGCAACACGTTTCTAAACGTGGAGGGGAAAACCCGAGGACCCGGAGCGAAAATCTACACGATCACGGGGTGACCATTCAAACTCCAAATATACAGCAGACGTCAAGGTCGGGAATCGAACCCACGACCTTCTGCATACCAGACACCGTGGCGCCCCACACCATTTACTCGAGTAGCTTTCGTCCGAAAGGACTCAGCCAGGGCTTGATCAGAAAAATGCAGGGGTCATTGTAATTGGATTTAACATACTGCAATATCCGACCTAGGACTTTTGACTGAGATGTAAAAAAAAAAACTTGACGGCTGCTAATTGTAAATTGTTTGGTGATGCTTGGTTCAGAATCTATCAGAATCTTCTTGAAAACTGGAGGCATCCGTTTAGCGATGATGCTCTTCTTCACACGTGTCCAGTTGGGGCGGGTCAGCAAGTGGCACGTGTTCGGCAGTGGTGCATAAATACAACGAACAAAAGCTCAACACGTTCGTCAATAACACGTGTTTTTTCATGGCCCTTCTACATTGCCATTGCCCGAAACGTTGCCGATTGCCAATCGCAATGCGATGTGCGTCTTGTGCTGGATACAATGCGCTACTGCGCTGCGTGTCGTGGTGAGTCTGTGTACGCCAGTAATAGGGGAGTTAGTGGTGAGTGTGTCAGGAGATGTATACAACTGGTTAAGCCATTCCCCGTGTGTAGTGTAAATGCCGTAAAACACGTTTGCAATCGACAGGAGTAAAGTTGAACTTAGGAACAAATCGACTTACGAACAGTACCTTTGGAACCTAACTCGTTGCCAAGTAAAGAAGTCCCTGTACATGAAAGAGGGTCTTGCATTGTGGGTGATGATCGCTGTGAACATTCCATCTGCGGGTTATATTTAAACTTTGGTCAATGTGGACCACGGAGCCCGCACACGATAGCCTGCTCTTGCGAATTACGCTACGGGATCTTTTGACACCCACTGGGAAACAATGTCTGGTGAGTGTATGGATAATGATGAGCATTGGGGGAGTGTGATTGAGTGGCGTGTATCTCGCGAGTGGTGTTAGGTGGGTGGTGTTTTGCGAGTGGCGAGTCTACGATGTGGTTGGCGAATGTCTGGTGAGCGGTATCTGTGAATCCTCTGGTGCGTCGTGGCAGGCGAATGGTGAGTGTCTGGTGAAAAATCACGCGACTGCTGTGTCACGTCACCATATCGGTGGGAGGATCTGCCCCTCCAAATGAGAAACGGTATTTGTCCATGTCCTTGTGTCAGTCACATCGTTTACTTGTGTGATTGTTGTCGTGCGGGGTGCAGTGAGGGAACCTTCTGACCGTAACAAATCCAGGGACCTGTGGTATTGAATATAACTTTTAACGATGCGACGACCTTTGACTTTACGAACCGTGATAGCCAGGGCATCTCAGTGAGTGGTGTGATTATTGGTGAGCGTCTTCTGTCAGGTGAGTTGTTGACGGCGCATCTGTTGCGCGTCTGGTGAGTGGCGAGTGTGATTATCTGGTGAGTGGAGAGCGTCTGTGGACTTTCTGGTGACTGGGTGTCAGGTTTTATTGGAGGCTGACAATGTGGAGAGTCACGTCATGCTGCCCATAGGACGGGCCGCCCTCTGGTTTCTTAAACACGAGAGCACCGATCGCTCTTGTGGGAACAACTGCGCCCGGCAAGGGACTCGCCCTCTACCCACATTACTCACCGCTAATGGGACTCCACGCGTCAACAGATGAGGCCCGCCACTCTCACGAAGTTCACTACAACGCAGTGCGGGGACCAGCTCTTGGCCAATGCGTATACCGCTGTAAAACAGTAATGCATATCAACCTCTTGCCACGGAAGCTCTCCCGCCGACTTCAGAATTTTCTTGCTTGCGATTGTCCCACCTGATGAGGATCGCTTGTGTTGCATTCGAAACGTCATGATTTGTTTTACTTTATTTCTACCCACGTGACTTTACCGAAAGAACCACAAGAGTATAGTAATGCATGTGGCCAGGGATTAATGTCCCACTCGATACGTTTCGGAACGCTGCAAGGCTTAGCTTAGAGTAGGGATTATTTCAGCGTAAGGCAAGGTTGCCGCCTATCTATAAAAGCCCTGTACACTATTCATATCGTGGTCTATGTTCGTAAAAAAGCCAACCGCAGCAGCATGAGCATACACAAAATTCACACACACACACAAAGACGAGATGGCTGTGGCGTGGACAATTTTTTTTCCCGGAACGGCGTTCCCAGACTGATCTGGATGAAGTGAGAGACTGGTGAATATAATTGTGATTGTGTTACGCTTCGCTTACTCACGCTTTCTACCCCCCTCCTCCCTCCCAGTGAAGTACTGGGGTGGCGCAATTCTTTCACAAACTACACGCGCGCACACAACTTCCTCCCTCCGGTAAAAAAAAAACAAGCATCATGTCCCCTCGGCATGCATTGTGTTTATTCCGTGCGTAAACACGAATATGAAGAGCAACATCACTCATTTTTTTCTCAATTTATGCCGGGTTTGTTTCGTTTTTCTACAGGGTTGTCCAAAAGAGTTAGCATACGTCGGATTATTATATTTACTTAAATACATCGAATTGTGTGATTTTCTTTCACTGGAACAAATGTTCAAACTGATTGCCGTTTACGTTAATGCAGGCATTAATTATCTTTTAAAATTAATTTAGAAAGTTTTTTTTTTAAAGATGACAGATGTCGTCTTTGAGTTTTGTGAACGAGGGAATTGAAGTGACCCCACAGGAAGAATTA